GAGAGTAGGGGGCGACTGAGACGGGGAAACTGAGGCACGCAGGGATGTGGGGGGTGAGGGAAAAGGGAACTGCGCAGCAGCATAAACGTAAGTGGCGTCAGAGCCCCAAGGAGCACAGCAAAGGGCACTGCCTCAAGGACAGAATTCCAAGTACTAAAATAAATCCATGATGAAGACAAGCGCAGGGTGTTCCCCAGCAGCCTTAAGCAATAATTCCTGAGGGGGAAACCTTAACCTTCCTCACAGCCTCCGCTGCAACAGAAACACTCCCACGTACAGCTTGGCAGCCCCCATGCCTCCTCCTGCGCATCCCGAAACCAGCCGAAGGTTTTGTCACTGCTCAGGCCTGGCCCCTGCCACGGGTCTCAAAGATGAAGCCACTTCACTCGAGGCTTGTGTCCCAACCTTATCATCTACTGACCGTCTAGGTCACAGGGACGACACTGTCCCCCTGCCTGGGGGGGCTCTGAGGAATCAAACAGAGATTATTTGCCTTTCTTCAACTCCTTGTTTAAGACTTTACAGGAGAAGGGGGTGAAAAAGGCAAGTCCCTGTTTGATCTTCAGCTGCTGCCACCGTAACACTCCTCAACTTTGAAGTGCTTCTCTGCTGCAAACACAACTCTTGTAACCCAGCTGTCTCCGTCTTTGATAATGCCACACAGCCGAGAATTTTTTTCTATAACACCATTCAGGCCATTAACACACCAGGAAAATGCTTGAAGCGACATATCTGCCTGAATCACCAAAGTTTCGAGGGGACTCGCAGTGCTTTTTAGACTTGAAGGATCTGTCATGCTCTTATTTATAATGCAGCCTGATAACACAAAGGTTTGTCAATGTTATTTCCCTCATCATTCTGTGGAGCCTGCTTTCTTTTTTTTAAATCTCCGAGCAGAGTTTGTTATTTTCAATAATATTCAAATATCCACATGAAACAACTGCCTCCCCCTCCCGCGATCCCATGCGCCTTTGTAAGATGACGGCAAAGGGAAAAAGCTGGTTTGTTATGCCCTCTTAAGTGCCATTATTCAGCAACCGGGGAATGATCAACAAGTACTCTCCTCCTTCAAACAATTATTTGCCCATGTGCAAACAGATTACAAACACAGTACCCAACAAGATGGGGGTAAGGAGCCGTTCCCTTACTCCATTCCCAGGGCTGCGGGGAGGAGGGACACAGCTTCTCCCCTTTTTCCTGTGTGGCAGGAAAGCAGCGGCACGAAAGCACTCCCAAAGCAGCCAGTGTAATGATAGCTCCAAGTTTACAGATCCTGCCCTGGTTTACTCACATTATTTTGCAGAGAAACTGCTTTTAACAAGTACCAGCAAGAGTCTTCCTTGAGAAGTTTCTGTGATGGATACAGTTGACCCCTAGCCGTACTTTGGTTCGGGCTGACCAAGGAGCAACAGGCCTCATGCTCTGTGGCAAACCTGCGAGCTGCAGAGCTCCTGGCTCACATATTTTTCTAAGGCACCTCCACTTCCCAGTATTTCAAAAGGTGGTTTTGAAGCCCAAAAATACAAGATAACTAAAGTACAGAGCAAGATATCAGAGCTAAAACAAAGACATCTATCTTGTCTATACTATTGACTAGGAACCAACTACTTCACCCTATAAATATTACCATCAGATGGGCCCAATTTGAGCTCACCCTGAATCACAGCTGGACTGCATGCCAGGTGACTCTGCCCTTGAGCTGGGTTGCCTCTCAAGGTTTGAGATTCCTTACCTGGGACTAAGAGATCCTTCCTTACCCAAGGCAGAGAGATCCTTTACTTACAACAGATCCTCGCTAAGTGATTGATAGCATGCTAAATTAATATGAACGAAACATTACTAAGCCATGTAGCTACTCAATATTAATTAGTATAAACTTTGTATATAATTTCATTAGACATAAACTGTTGTCCAAGTCTGAGACTAAGATCGGACCTAGATGCACCTAAGCTCCATCAGGAGTTCAGAAAGCAAGGGGGTCCACTCTGAACCTCAGGACTCAGTGGAAGAGTCTTCCTTACCCTTTGCGTCTCTGGTCTCTGTGTGAATCGTTCTAACTTGATTCTAACTTGACTCTCCTCTGTATGTTTCTTCCACGCAGTAATTAGTAAGGTGAACCTTCCCATCAAACTTGAACCTTGGTAAACCACTGTTAAACTCGGCCAAATTCCATCAAAATTATTGAACTCTGTCAAATTATTATTTTACCTCAATAAAACATATTGCTGCTTCTCTTTTGAGTGAAGTGCATTCCACTCAACCACAACAGTTTCCCTTTAAAGCAAAGGATAAAATAAATGTCATTATGGAGGCAGAAGTTTATTTCTGTGAGATCTGCTCTACAACCACACAATTATTTGTGCTCTAGCCTGCAGAAAATTCAGAGGATCTCCATCTTCCAGGGAAAAAAATAAATACATTGAAAAGCACAAACCGCTCAGACTAAAAAAAACTCAAGTTCTTCAGCTTCTAACTTTCAAACCCATAAGGCAACAGAAGCAAGTCAAAGACCTAAGTACAAAGGAGCTGGTACATGTTTCTTTTCCCTCCCCCCTGCCTGCTTTCATCTCTTGGCTGGAAAACTTACCCTTATACCGGTGGCTGATCTCATGGGGTGTCCTGCCTGTCTCATAAAAATCACATTGTTTTCTATCTTCAGAGAGACTAAAGCCAGACACAGTTACATATGAGAAGTTCTCCTTTAACATCCTTTGCTGTAAGTCACAGTCCAGAAGAACCTCCAACAAGGCTTTTATTTCAAGCCATTGAAAGTTTTGCATTTTCAATGACAATTACTAAAATTAAAGAAGGAAATTCTCACTTATCAAAATGACCACCAAAAAGTAGTATGTCACAGGTGAAGTCTTCTAGCATTATATTCTAACACAGCATATAGGAAATATAAACAAGCCATACAAATACTTTTTTTTTTTTTTTTTTTACATTCACTTGGTCAATTTACAAATAATCACTCTAGGCAGATAGTTAAAAATATCATACAAAGACATGATACAACCTCCATCTTATCCCTCGATTTTCTTATTAAAATGTAGAAATTCTCCTTGCACAAAATATATATATGTTTGTATATACATACACACTATTTTGTCTCTGTATTTCAAATATTAACAAAAACATTTTAAATGCATTGTTCTGGTTAGCACGAGATGATATTACAATTTATGAAGAGTAACGGACAAAAATCCCTTTTGTCTATAAGACTGATAAAAGTGCAGGTCTACATCAAAAATAAAAATCAGTTGCTTTTAAGAACAAGATACCTGTTAAAAAAAAAAAAAACAAAAACAACTCAAAGTTGTGCTGTTTCCATCAACACAGATACCGTAAGAGTTGTTTATTGCAGAGATTTAAAAGCAAACTGAAAGCTTTTTCCCAATTCCATGAATTTATTTTTTTAAATGACTTAAAATTCATTAAAGTTTTGAAAACCCAGTTCATGCAGAAAGGATAAACAGCAGCTTTCAACTCCACCAAAGACAAAGCAGTGGAAAAATACTATTTTTGAGATATTCAGAAGGCAACTTGGATGCTCAGATGAAGACTTCTAAAAACAGCGCTAAATTAAGGTAATAAAAGGTGGCACAAAAACTGTATTTACCTCAGTCTTCACTATGAAACAAGAAAAATCAGACATGCAGATCTTTACTTTTTCCATTATTAGACAGCCTGGGTACCTGCAGTTGTTGATCTGCACCCACTTTCAATCAGTTCCATTTTGCAGCTAAAAATGCAGATTAGGATTTGCTTTGAGGGCGGTCAATTAATCGCTGTCTTCACTGGAGTCAAAAATGTCACTGAGTCGAAAAGCCTTCTTCTGTTGCCTGGCTGTCGCATTGTCAGAACTAAGGTGTACCCCCTTCCGTTTTTCTAACTTTTCTTCAAGTTCTGGAAGTTTCTCTTTAAAAAGATAGTCAATAATTTCTTTGGGAAAAAAAAAAAAAAGGAGAAAAAAAGAGAAAAGAAGTAGTCTTAATTGGATCTGTAGGGGAACTGGCTGTAGGGGAACTGGATGCCTAGGGGAAACAGGATCTCACAGACAGAAATTATTTTGTCAGTGTTAAATGCAAAAAAAATCTCACTATTCTGTAGTAATCACAGTGGCTACACGGTAGATCAGACACATACATACATGCAAAGACAAACTAAAAATGCACAGTCATAAAACATTTAAAGCCAAGATATTAAAAAGAAGAGGCTCATAAGCACTGCATGAAGATGACATTGAAAATAAACTGTTATTTTTTAAAAAAGCATTTAGTAAAATAAATACAAAGCCTGAGATTTTAGTCAATTTGCTTAGGTGGAAGCTAACTAAGAATTGAACTAGAATACATATCCCTCTTAAATTCAACCAAAAACCTTAAGGAGTAGATACAAACAGCTGGGATACTGACCAGAAAAAGTCTTTTTTCGCCAAAAAGGGACACAGGAGACTTTTAGCTTATAAAATTTTGCTTGAACATAGGCTTTAGGGACATCTCTGAAAAGAAAAGAGTTCAAGAATTAGCGGTGCAAAGAACTATTACAAAGTTTAGTTATTACTGAGTTACCCATTCATGAGAGTGATGCCAGTCAAACAGTTATCTTAGCTTAAGGCAGAAAGGATGGATTTCAAATCCTAATTAAAACAGTTTTTCAAGACAGCAATTCCCCTTGGAAGTAAGAACCTAAACCATGCCAGCATACTTATGCAATATATGTTTAGTGAAAAGAAATAGCAAATGAAACTGAAAGTATGTGGAAAAAGAAAAAAAAGCACTGTTGAGAAAGTATAACATTGACAGTATTGGCAATTTCATATTCAACACTTCCTTTGTTGGGACAGAGACGATTACATTGTATTACACATTCCTATAATTATCCTTTTCCTTTGTGTTGATTAACACCTGGAAGTGTCTTTTATCAAAGACTTTAGCACAGACTACATAACACAGTTCTAGTATGCAGAATACGCTGGGAATACAATAAGGGTTGCCTCAAGTGGTTAAATAAGTTTCAGAGCTTATAGGCATGGTTTATTGCTCAGTACTATCCAAGGATATACAACTGTACATTACCAAACTAAATGACACTTCCTATAGTTGCAGAGGTCTAAGAACTTTGATTTCTTTGCGGAAATTTTAAGACCATCTGCTTCAACTATCCTTCATATCCATAAAAACAGGAAAAAAAGGTTTACCCAATAGTATTACTGAGTTCTTCCCAGTTTACTTCATTAGCATCCTCTACTTTCATTTCATGCAACCTGTGAATATAATACAGAAGTAGTTTGTAGGCAGAATTCAAGAAATAATTCAATAATGCTCACAGCTCCCCCAGTCAGAAGTCATAGGACATTTTGTCCAAAGAAAGAGTGGTTGCAAAACCTGTATGAAACTGCAGGCATGCCGTTCTCACCCTGCAAGCTTTTATAAACACAACTTGGAACAGTAAGAGTTACAAAAACATTCCAGTACTCTGAACTATACCTTTTAATAAGATTGATCTTGGCCTGTAATCCTTTGGTCCCTCTATATAACTGCTGCCCTTTGGTCATCTTGTTTGTTAAAATTGTAGTCCTTTGAAAACACACAAAAAAAAGGTTTCTATCATTTCAAGAAATTCCAAGCATCAAAAGGAAGTGTCTTCAAGATGCTACTGCTGCCACAGAGAAGCAGAAATCAGGCTTCACTATCACAGCAAGAAGAAAACTTACCACAGAGAGAAAAGAGTTATTTGTCTCAGACACATTTGCAACGCCTCTTCTGTAGTCTACAATCTATTTATTACCTATCTTACCAACTAATCATCGTGGTACAAACAGTTTTGCAGAATACAGTTAAATACTCCCCAGAACACATTTTACTATCTCAATTTAGTATAAAACCTTACCATTTCTGTTTACATTGTCTCCAATATCGAGTTCCCACTTTAGCTTCAATCTCAGTCCATGGTAATTTCTGGTACAGTTTCTCACGGTCAATCAAGAGATCTCTATTTGACTTTCCTGATGATGAATTTCCATCTTCCATTTCCGTTCTTTTCCTAATCACCTCCTCCACTGCATGCATTAACTTCTGGGTCTCTTCCTTTGACCAAGGACCATAATTAATAGCTAAAATGGAAAAACAAGGTCAAGGCATAATTTATCATAAATTATTAGAAAAAAAAAGTCAAAAGAGCAAATGCTTCACTTTGCATTATTCTTATTTTCAGGACCAGCTTCTTAACACACTTCCCAGACACTCTTCTGCATACTAGATTGGAGACAGGAGTTCAACCTAATCACTGAAGAATAGCACTGATCCCTAGTTTCTATTTTTAAAAACCTGGTTGCCAATTTCCTCCTGCCCTCCCCCTGAAAGCATCTATTTAGATGTAAGTTCCATTTAATAAAGAGTCGCATTTGTTCCACTTCTTTTTCCTTTTCCATCAGAGACTGTTCTTATCCCTTCTGTATGAAAATGCAATCAGTGGTCTGGAAAAAGGAACCAGCACCACAAATTAATTAAAAACAAAAACCCACTAGGGATTTTTTTCCTAAAGTTTAGGGCATATACAACATACAGTTAAAATAACTTCTCACACTGCAATACACAGAATGAATTGCTTTCCTTAAAATTACATACCCGACTTAATTTCAGAGTATTTCATAGCAACTGAGAGGTTAGAACGGGACATCATCTCAGAAATCTTCTTCCAATCATTGCCATGCATAGCATGATACTTCTTTAATTTTTCTTTTTCTTCTTTAGTATACCTAAGTTGAGGAAACGGGCACAGCTTCTGCTGTAAATTCAAACTATTCCAATATCTTAAAATAGCTGTAATCTTTACCTGCATTTCAATGTTACTCATCACTACCATTTCAAGTCACACTTTAGAACAGAGAAATTGATAATGACTAGTCAGAAAATGAACTGTCAATTAAGTCACAGTAACGGGCACAAATGGGAGACATGATCTTCATTTATATTAATTTTTAATGTACCAATAAACATCAGAGACTGACATCAGCACTCAGAAACTCTTTCAAATTACTCGCTTACCTCCCTTTATAATTATTTGGGTCAAACATCTTCCTTGCTCGATAATATATCAGCCTCCAGGGTCGTGGTATGCCCTCAGCTAGAAGGTAAATGATTTGGTTTTTAGAGACATTTCTCACACTGGTGAGGCCACTTTAAAAACAAGTCAAAATAAAACAAAACCAAAAAACAACAACATGCATTTTCATGACCACACTGGCAACGATAGATTCTCTCCATTCAAGAGAATGTACTCTACAACACTTCAGTAACTGCATAGGAAATAGTCCAAACAGAGTCTCCTCAGGAGTTTCAAATATGTCATTGCTATGACCATGGTAAGATTGTGAATGCTGACAGCTGGTAAATAATAGTGTATGTGCCTGCATATGTGCGGGTGAGTATCGGAAACTGAACTTTGAAACTCTCAAGCATAAACCTGCTACTCAGTAGCTACAAATTTTACGGACTGGCTGTACATTTGATCCAGACGTAATTAAAACTTAACTAACATACTGAATACTTCCACTAATAGAGAGACATGAGACAGCCACCAGTCAGGACGCTGATGAGATACTGTACTTCTGCATATAGACTATTTCGACTGGGAAAAGCAGGGACTGGGGGCATCCAGCAGAAACAAAGTGAAGATCTTGGCTGAAGGGAAGATCCTTGAAGTGGGGAAGATTCAGAGAGACCAGTACCTGGGAACACATTAACAATCTTGGACAGCAACGCCCAGGTCAGGTAACTGCAAAGCAGCTCACATAACACTGACATGACTTTCTGCCCAATATTGGGCATGAATATTTTCTAGCCAAGAAAAGCCCAACAAAATGAGTCAAGAGGAAGAAAAGAGACATTCCTCCTGCAAACAGCATCTTAGCCATAAGAACAACCTAATTTCTTTCCGTTTCTGCCATCACTCACTCAGTGCTAAGCCTGCCACCTATTTATGTGCTCTATGAACAGCTGACAATTTCAGACAGGACTTAATCACACCTCCCATTAATAAGTCACTATGCTAAATTATAGCCTAGCAAATAATGCACCTTAAGCCATAAAGCCCAAATGCAAGTTTGAAAGTCTGTAAGTGCTGCTGGTCACGATGATACTTTAATCTCTGAACTCTTCATACCCGCGAACAGATAATAAGAACAGCATACTGCACAGATTATCAACTATATAATCTCAGCAGCACGCTCCTTTTTTGCCAAATTTAGCAACATTGGTGCTTTTCAATAAAAAATTATTTTAGAAAATACATCATGGTATCACCAGGTTGTGGAATGTAACATTCAGCTATTCGAGAAGGAACTGAAATACTTACAAAGTTTTTGACAAAAAAGATATTCTGCTTTTAGGCGACTGATAGCTTCTTTATCTTCTGGATACCTTGAGGTAAACAGGAGTTTTTCAGCACTGTCTATTCCAGTAATCAATAAGAACTCTTCAATATTTTTCCGAATTTGATTATTTTCCTTCTGGGAAAATCTGCCAAACTTGACAGCAATACCTAAAATATACAGGAAGTTTTATATTTTTAAAAAAAGAAAAAAAAGAAACCTCAAGTACCAACTCTTGTGCATTACATTTCAGGTTTTAGCAAACATATAACAGAAGATGAATGAATTCCAAAGGTGAAAAAAGAAAACTGAAAAGAGACAAGACAAGAGCTGGGAGCAGATAATTTTCACATACACTTTGGACTGCAATTTGACAATGAAGAAGTAGTTATTACAAAGCAGAGAAACTATTTTCCCTCTGTCAAAACATTAGCACAGCTGCACAGTCCTTCCTCACTGCAACAATATTTTGGAGAGCTCACCTTGTTTTTTAAACTGTTTAAACCTCACTAGGTCTCTTCCAGCCATCTTCCTGATTGAACTGTCCGATATACTCCTCACGTGAGGAATAAACTCTTCCAATTCTTGTTTTGCAGTATCCAAATCCATGAATGAACACATGGTAGAGTCCACGCAGTCTTCATCATCCAGACTAAGCTCATCAGAGGCTACCATTTCGGTAAAGGAACTATTCTGGTCCTTCTTTCTATTTGAAGCTGAGCGTTCTGGTGCCCTGTTATTTTTTAAAAAAAAAAAAAAAAAAAAGGGCATAAAATAAAATATACCACTAGAGACTAGAGCTCCAAAACAGAGATTTTGTTAGTATCTCTACCATTAAAAGAACGAACATGTTAATTAATTAAAGAACAAAGAATACTTCATACATCCACCCCCTTGTATTTCCAACTTTTTAACAGAGACATAATTAATTATCAAATTTCTATACTTACAACATTCAAAGAGCTTGCTGAAATTTTGAAAATCTGCACCTTTCCCACAAAACTCTCACACACAGACATACAGAAGACATAGCATCCCTTGCTACGACTGGGAACACAGAACTTTTCCATCTGTCTTTTACTAGTGGTCGTATTGTAGGTTCTAGATGCTGTAACACCACAAGGAGCTACTTACATGAGCATTTGTCTGCACAGAACACTAAATTCGTCAGTTAACCTTACTGGTTGCTTGGTAAAAATGCATACATTCACTATAAATACCAAATTTAACAAATGAAGTCCCTTTCTTCCCCCTTTTTTTTTTCCCACTAAATATGAATTGCTTGCACATAAATTATTTCTATACCTACAGTTTTTAAATAGAAGAAAATATTCTATGTTGAAGGCAATGGTAGTGTATTCTTAGAAATTTTCATTGTATCTTCGCAAGATAACTAAGCTCTTAAAGTAGGTCTCTATCACATCTCAATGTAGTGTAAAGGTTTTTGAAGTTGTTTTTAAAAATACATACGAAACAGACTGAAGAAAAATCTAGGACCCAAATAATGTAATAGAAACATGTGGGGAAGGGGAGAAAACCAAAACAAAGCCACAAACAAAACTTAAACTTACACTACATCAGATTCTGAAGAGCTTTCTTCCATGACAAAGGTGCCGCTTTTTTTTGCCTTTCTAGCACACACTGGACTTTTATGAGGAGATTGATCAGCTGCTTTAGTCGGCTTAGAAAAATTAGCAGGTACATTCGTAGAATCTTCACTCATTGCAGGAGAAGCACCACAGTCACTATCTTCATGCCATTGCTGGGGCGTTGCCACAGCACCCTCTTCTGTAGGTAATGGCCGTACTGTGTCTTCCCCTTGCCTGTTTTGCTCTGGAGATGACAACGGTGACTGCTCAACCATTACACCTGTGTCTTCTTGCATATCTGGGGTACTACTGCTTCCTTTCTTCTTCTTCTTCTTCTTCTTCTCCTTCTCCTCTGATCTTTCATTGTTTTTATCGTGTGTTTCTGAGGTAGGCAGCTGATATACCTCATCCTCTTCAGGCAATTTTTCTTTTCTTTTCTTCTTAACGGATTGTTTTAAATAAACGTAATCAGTATCAATGTCCTGACAACTATTAGTGCTATGCTGATTTACTGTCATACAAGTTACATCACTTTGCTCATCTGTATTATCATTATGCTTCCGCTTCTTTTTTTTCTTTTTCTTTTGGGAAACATCCAGTCCAGTTTCATTACTAATTTCATGTTCCAGTCCTACATAAGAATCATCTAATGAAGGCTGTTGCTTCTCCCCCTTGTCTTTTTTCTTTTTCTTCTTCTTTTTACAGCCTTCACCGCTCTGTGCTGCTTGATCTTCAGACAGCACTGGAGAAGCGCAGCTAAGCTCTGCATTTTCTATACTTTCTCTTTCATCATTTTCATGTTCCTTATCGCATTCTTTGTGTTTTCTCTTCTTCTTCTTCTTCTTCTTCTTGACAAAATCACAAACTTGAAAATCATCTGCACTTGCTGCTTCTGTCATATTTTTTCTTATCTTAAATAAAAGATATGAGTTTTACTCAAGCACTATAATTTACATACTGCTACACAGTTCAAAAAAAACAAAACAAAAAACCCACACACAAAACCCCACACCCAAAAAAAACCCAAAACCAACCCACTCAAAACACTTAAGTACTACACAACTACTCAGTATTATCTTAGAAACAGAGATACTTACTTTTCAATCCAGCTAATTTTACAAAGTGACTATGAAAAAGCGACACCTTCTTCATCACAGATATGCATCACAGCTGTATTCAGCCTTAAAATTGCCTTCCTGTAACAACAAAGATACACTTTAATAACTGTTAGCTTTAAATTGACTTTGAACAACTAAGCAATAACAGACTGCTATATTCAACTCTGCTTTCAGCACTGAAACAGCAACATGCTAAAAGTAATAAAAAAATACTAAACTAATCAGCAGTAAAACCAAGTTCTCTAATTAGAAGCTTCTGACTGGCTTTGCCCGTGTTCAATCAGGCCCAAGCCTAGCCCAGACTTGTCAGCTCCAACAGACTCTGTAACCAGAACAAATCTGTTCCTGAAAACTATGGAATTACATAGAGCAGACAGCAAGTATTTTTTAGTACGTTTTCTACGGCCAGGATGTAAAAAAACACCTACAAACCAACATCCTGTCATCTCTGAAACACAAGACCTTGAATTTCACATCCCTGATGCAGTTTCCAGCGCTGACCAGTACCAGACATTACCTCCTCACCACCGCCGGCAAAACAGCTGCCCTGAAACCTCTGGGGACAGACCCCTGACGACACACCACCGCACAGCTCCGGGGACAGACCCCTGACGACACACCACCGCACAGCTCCGGGGACAGACCCCTGACGACACACCACCGCACAGCTCTGGGGACAGACCCCTGAGGACACCCTGCGCTGTTTCCCCAGCGACAGACCCCTGAGGACACACCACCGCAGAGCGCGCCCCAGCACCGAGCTACAAATAAAGCTAGGCCGTGGGCCACGAGCACGCCCAAGGGCAGGCCGTGGGACATGGCCTCGCGGCACTCCCTGCGCGGAGGCACGTCCCACGCATCGCCCGGCCCGTCGTTACTCTCCGACACTCTCCGGGACTACCGTGGGCGAGGGAGGCCCCCAGAGCAACCGCAGACCTCTCGGTGGCATCGGGGTAGGCCGAGGCGGGGAAACCGCCGTCC